GGCCCGCGAAGCCCACTTAGGACCGGGCCCGGCCCACTTGCCACCCCTACCTGAGATTAACGGACCAATCTGGGTCATTTTTTGGACTGAAAATAGACACGTGGTACATCATTAGGATGCCACGTGTATATATCAAGAAACAAAGAGAACCCACCCAGTTTCTTAGAAATTACCTAATGACCCGCTGACCCAAAACCCACTCGTTTCTTCTTCAACATTTATCATGATATTGGTGGTAAGAACTTCAGGAGTCGAAACATATAAAACTTAACATTCCGAAATTTCTTCAACTCTTTTACTCCCATGGTTTTGAATCATTCTTGCATTATTTTAAATATGAATAGTTAAATTTGAAAATTAAAGAGGAGTCAATATTATTTAGTCTAGATAGATTTTTCTTTGGTGATCGTATCCTACTTCATTTGCATTTTTCTTCATGTTTATTTTTTACCTGTGCAAATAATGAACTCCCATTGCTAGCAATTGCAATTTTCTTGGGAGTTTGATTGGCTTTTTTTTTATTAACTTGTGATTTGCAAGGAATTGGATGATGAACTGTAACATTCTCTTTATGATTTCTTCGAGACAAGGGGAATAAATGATACTCAAATGTCGAGTATCAACTGCTAAGCAATGGAACATTAGCAATTTGCAGACAAAAAGAAGAGAAAAGAAGAGTATCATGATAATTGTGTGACTTACAATTACAATGTTGTATTTATAATTGGTGAGAATTAAAATGCAACAAAAGAAATGATAGAATTTGAAATAAAAGTTGATAACTACTTTTCCAGCCAACTCCAACTCAACTAACATTCAAATAGTACCACCCTTAGCCACTAATATTCATATCAATATCCCCCGGATGAATAACACCCTTGTCCTCAAGGGTGTACGAAGGAAATCGAGCCTTTAAAGCAGAAGCCAATTCCCAGGTAGCATAAGAAGGATCTAAGCCAGTCCATTTGATCAAGTATTGAGCGACATCTCTTACCCCTTTTGATCAATCTGCGATCAAGAATAGCTTCAGGAGATGGACAATACTGGCTAGCTAAGTTAATAACACGAGGGTGAATGATGGTGGTAGGAACTTCATAACAGAACTTTAATTGAGACGCATGAAAGGTAGGGTACAACAAAACCTCATGAGGAAGAAGGAGTTTATATGCCACTGCACCTATCTTTTCAACAATATGATAAGGTCCAAAATATCTCGAAGTGAGCTTGTGATAAGGAAAATGACAAAGAGTGGACTGTCCAGAAGGTTGGAGCTTGAAACAGTCCTAGTCTCCCACTTTGAACAGTTTATCATAACTATGGGCATTAGCATGGGCTTGCATTCTTTGTTGAGTTCGTGTAAGATGGAACTTGGCCAGCTGCAGTTTGAACTCGTGTAGCAAAGCAATTTATTCAATAGAAGCAGAGTCAGAATCACCTGGTATGTAGGGAAGGCGAAGTGAAGGAGGGTATCCATATAAGAGTTCAAAGGGAGAAGTTTGAATGGTAGAATGATGGCTAGTGTAGTACCACCACTCAGCTAAAGAAAGGAAAAGAGACCAATCTCTAGGAGAATTAGTGCAAAAGCAGCATAGATATGTCTCTAAACACCGATTAAGGACCTATGATTGACCATCTGTTTGTGGATAATGAGCAGTGGAGGTTTGTAAGGTAACACCCTGAGTAGTGAGGAACTCCTTCCAAAAGCTGCTGATAAAGATGGGATCCCTATCATTAGTGATTGATTCTGGGAAGCCATGAAGTTTGAAAATGTTATCCAATGAAGATAGGGATCATAGATTGAGCTGTATAGGGGTGAGATAATACAAAAAAGTGGGCATGTTTGGTCAATCTGTCAATTACTACCCAAATGACTAATTTGCCTCTAGCCTTTGGTAGTCCCTCAATGAAATCTACAGTAATATCAGTCCAAGGAAGAGCATGAATAGCACTACTAGAAAAGCGCTAAATTCCGACCGAAATTTCTGACTGAATTTTTTTGTCAGAAATTTCCGACAGAATTTTCAAAAAATATCTCCTATATATTTTTGTCGGAAATTTCCGACGGAATTTTCAAAAAATATCTCCTATATATTTTTCGAATTTTTTTTTTTTTTTTTTTGACAAGATGGGTTGCTCTGATGGTAAGCACCCTCCACTTCCAACCAAGAGGTTGTGAGTTCGAGTCACCCCAAGAGCAAGGTGGAGAGTTCTTGGAGGGAAGAATGCCGAGGGTCTATTGGAAACAGCCTCTCTACCCCAGGGTAGGGGTAAGGTCTGCGTACACACTACCCTCCCCAGACCCCACTAGTGGGATTATACTGGGTTGTTGTTGTTGTTGCTGTTGTATCTCCTATATATTTTTAAAAACATTTCGACCACATTTCCGACCTAATCGGTCGCAACTTTTGGCGAAAAATTTATTTTGACTTGTTTGACTTCATTTCCGACATATTTGGTCGGTAATTATTTTTTTAAATTTTTTTTAAATAACAATTCCGACCGAATCGGTCGGAATTGTTTTAAAACAATCCTACACCCTGTCCCCAAAAAACAGAAGCTCACTTTTCTTCCTCCTTCTTCTCTCATCTCTCCCTCTCGTCCCCAAAAAACAGAAGCTCATCTCTCCTTCTCCCCCATCTCCAAGAACAATGTATGTCTCTCTCTCTCTCTCGTTTCCTCCTCCCTTCTTCCTCCCTTTCCTCCTCCCCTTAATTTATTTATTTTTTATTTGTTTTGCAGCAGTGGTTGGCGGCGGCGGCAACAGCTCCTCAGTCGACTTCTCCGACATTGTTTTCGTCGAGGTAAGTATTTCGTTGACATATATATCTTGTTTTCATTGTTAAATTTGTAGTAATTTTCTATATATGAACATCCTAGCTAGTTGAAGTAGGTATGATTGAAATTTTAGGGATTTTAGTTTTTTAATGATACTTAATATAAAAAAAAAGAGAAGAATATGTTGAATTAGGTATGGTTAAAATTTTGGGTTAAACAAAAATATATTAATAATACATGTCCACTCATAATCCCGAATTTAAATTTTATATTAAACAAGTGATTCACTAAGCTTATAAGCTAATTAAACTAGCTTAATCCTATCATAAAGATTAGAAAATTGTTTAATCCTACAACTTCACAAGACAAATAATGATTTGTTTAAAGTGAGAAAATGACTGATGAAGACATGAAGGTTTTTCTGATAAGGAAAAACTATGTAAGATGTAAGGTATTGTTTTTGTTCATTTCTCTTTATCTATACTTTACTTCTCATCAGATTCATCATAATTGTTTGGATTCTTCCTTGTAAGGTATTGTTTTTGTTAATTTCTCTTTATCTATACTTTACTTCTCATTAGATTCATCATAATTGTTTGGATTCTTCCT